GGTACATCATGGCAAATGTATGCCCCCACATACAAACATACACATGCACTTGCACACACGAGTTGAGATACAAATGGGTTTCATTACAGCATTCTCATACATGTCCTTATACTTGGTTTAAAATCATCTGTCTCCTTAACTGACCTTGCCAGAGTCCCTGCCCTGCTCTCTAGTCCCTCATGCCACAAGTATTCCATTGCCCTCTTTCTGACCCCTCCCCTCCCTAAGTTCTCTTCCTCCCTTCTCAGTGTCTACACCCACACACATACATATTACACACATATATATAAATTTAAATCTACATTATGCATGAGAGAAAACACATATTATTTTTCTTCCTGTATCTAGGTTATTTCACTTAACATTATGATCTCTAGTTCCATTCATTTTACTGCAAATGTCATGATTTCACTTCTCTTTGTGATGGGAAATAGCCCATTGTGTATATGGACATCTAAGCTAGTTCTAGTTCTCAGCTACTCTCCTATGAACAGTACAGCAGTAAACATGATGTGTAGGTGTCTCTGTGGCATGATGACTCACAGTCCTTCATGTATATTCCCAAGAGTGGTATAACTGGATCACACAGTATTCTATTTTAGATGTTTTTCCTAAAAATTCCTAAGAGCAGTATACAAGTTCCTCTTCCCCCATCCTTGCACACGTTGTCCTTTGTAGAAAAATGTCATTTGAATAATAATCAAGAACTATGTGAGATGGTATGTCTACCTCTTTTTTAAATAATTTACTTATTACTTTTGTTTTATGTGTATTAGTGTATTGCCTGCATGTACGTAAGTGCACCCGTGCCATGCACTTGGATGATTCACATAAACACATATAAGAAATATTCCTCTCCAAAAATCTGTTTATAATACATTTAATAACATAGGATATGAGTTACTGAAATTCCAGGTTATTTCTCAGTTTGACATGCTACCATAATTACAATGGCTCTAAAATTAACTTAAAATTAATGTTTGCACAAGAGGTACATCTCAGAAAATAAATCAGGAAAAGGTCTATTACCTAAACTTAATTAGAAATTATTTGAGGACAGACATTCTTTTGTGTGCATTCCACTGTGTTACAAGATTCCTATGTAACTCCTAAACTAAACTGTGTCTCCCCCTCAAATGAGATGTTGAAGTCCTAACCACTAGCTCAGGATATGACATTGTTTGAAATGTTTGAAGATGTAACTGGTTAAGATGAGGTTGTACTGGAATCAGTTTGGCCCTCAATCCAATATGAATGGTTTCCTATAAGAAGGTGGCCATGTGAAGACAGAGGCACAAAGGCTCCCATGTGAAGCCAGAGACAGAGATGAATGGCCTTTAGGAGCCAAGGACTGCCAAGGGCTGCCGCTGTCACCAGAAGCCAGGAGAAGGGTATGGAGCAGACTCTCTGGGAGCTCTCAGACAATGCTGCACTCTGCTTTTAACCCTGTAGCCTCAGAACTAAGAGACAATACATTTCTGTTGCTTGAAGTCACCCATCTTGTGATACTTTGTTAGGGAAGCCCTACAGAACCACCACCAACAAAATACTATTTCTTTTTTTCATTTATAAGAAGACATGGAAGAAGTCATTTATAGCAGAACGCACAATACAAAATGTTTAAACTGCATGAGAAATAAAAGCCAAGCTGAAAAATGTACACTGACCAAGATTGTTAGACAAGACCAAAAACAATGTACCATTTCTATTGAATTGAACTGTTGTTACTTCCCAGAGAGAAAAGATAGGCACTATGTACCCACTCTATTTTTTTTTTTTTTTCAGAAATATGACAGGGCATACTGCAAAATGACCATAGTATCTATAACAAAGCAGTTTCACTTCTGGAGTACTGTTTCTAGGAAACAATCCTCAATTTGCAAAATGATATATCTTCAAAGTTAATGATTATTAAAATTTACATGGTTTATATTTTATATGATTTTTATAATTTACATGGTTTATAAATTGTTGTTAATCTACCTGTATTAGTTAAGTAGGGTTGGGAATGTAGCTCAGTGGGACGGTGCTTACTTAACATGTGTGAAGTCCTGGGTTCAACCCCAGCATCACAAAAGGAAAAAAAAAAAAGCATTCGAATTATTGAACTATAATGCAGAACAGTAAGTATTCAAAATGGTTCAGATGAAAGTGCTGCCTTTGTGTTACACAGAAAATACAGAACACTAAAACTGTACATGGTGCATGATACAGAAAAACATGCACAGAAAAAAGAAAAAACAAAGGCAAAACAGCAAAATATTCACACAGGTAGATTTATGCTGAACTCTCCTGCTGTCCCTCAATCTCACCATTTTTGTGCAGCCTTCCAGTCTTTTCCCCTTGCCTCAAACCTTACCATGCACAATCAATTCTTTCTGGGAACTGCCTCTCCTTAGTTCAGACCCACATCACTCACACATTTTGTGAAACCATTCCTGTTTGTCCAGGCTGCTGCCCCATCCAACTTAATCTGTTCACTTATGCATGTGCTATATTTTCTAATGAAGAAGGTTATTTTAAGAAAACTTTCTGTTGTTTCTTTCATTTTGAGTTTCAGTTTCCTGTTGATTCACTCCTCCTTCATCACATCTCGAAATGTAATGCTTAGGATAACTGGGCACCTGGCTATGGCAATACAGTGGGCAGAAGCTTTCCTCTCCCTCATCAACACTGTCTGCCAGCTCCCCTGATTCAAACTCATATATCCTCCAAAACTAGCTTAATATCCACCATCGTGAAACCTATTGCACCTGTGCCACCTTAGCTCCTACTGTAATATATTCTACAAACATTTATTATGCAACTATTAGGCATAAGTCTGATGATATAATGTCCTACATTTCTCATGATCTCAAAGAAAGCAAACACTAAAGAAGATAACCAATATTAGAAATAGGTATTGGCTGGGGATGTGGTTTAGCTGGCAGAGTGCTTGCCAAGCATGCATGAAGTCCTGGGTTTGATCCCCAGCACTGCATAACACTAGGAGTAGTGGCATAACCCTGTAGTTCCAGCCTTTGGGAGGCAGGAGAATTCGAAGTTCAAGATCATTCTCTGCTACATACTGAGTTCTAGACCAGGTTGGGATACATGAGACCCTGTTTCCAAGTGTGTGTGTGTATGTGTGTGTGTGTGTGTGTATATATATATATAAAAGAAATATGAATACGATAAGTGATAAATGTGTGTTCAGAGTGGGGAAGAGGAGGGCCTGGTGAGGAGTTGATGGGGTGGCCCACAGGCTAAGACTGATGAAAGCAAACAAGACCACATGAAAGTTGAATAAAACATTTCATACTCAGGAGGTGGTAACATGAGTTAGGACTGCTGAGTTTTGAGTTTGGGTGACTAGGACAATAGTAATAGAAATCATCTTCTTTTGGTGGGGGTGAGTTAGGGTCTCCTTGCAGCCCCAGCTGACCAGAACAGACTATGTAGACCAGGCTGGCCTTGAACTCACAGAGATCCGCCTACCTCTGCATCCTGAGTGCTGGGATTAAAGGCCAATGCCATAAGGCAGGGCCAGAAATCATCTACAGGAGCTTTGTGAAGTCTCAGGACAAGTCCAAATGGAGTATGGTACTGTGTACTGAGGGAGGTTGGACTAAATTGAAAAGACACAGAGATATGGAAACTTAAGTCATGCTAAGCAGACTTGAGAGATAAAGTTGCATAAAATCAATCACTCAATCAGCCTATCAACCAGCCCTTAATTTTTCTTCCTTCTCTCCTTTCTCTCTCTCTTTCTCTTTCTTTTGAGGGCTGGGCTTGTAGCTTATCTGAAGAGGGAAGAAGGTGGTTCATTCCCCAGGAGGGCGAGGTAGGGAGAGGGAGTGAGAAATTGGGAGCACACACACCAGCTTCAACTATTGTAGTACAAAAGCACACAAGAGGGAATAAGGGCCAGAGATTGAGATTTGGACAACGATGTTTGAAACTGCCAAGCGCTTCAGGACAGTAGGGACCACGAAAGGAACTCCAGATGCAGCGAACTAGCACAGTAACTAAAAGCTTCTAGGCTGGATGGAGTTCGAGCCCTGAATCCTACTGCTATTATAGACGGGGCCTCTGGGTGCCTGTTTCCTCATTGATAAATTGAACATAGTATCTACTTAACAGGATCACTGAAAACTGACAGCGCTAAGTAATTAGATCCAAGCCTGGCACACAAGTACTTGATAGCATTTGCCATGGGGCAGGATTTTACCAGTCTTGAGTGACCTTGGGGAGAAAAATTTCTACCTGAGCTTAGGCTTCAAATTAGGGAAATAAGGTGGCAGCATTCACAAGGCATTGATGACTGTAAGGGCAGAAAAACAATAAAAGGAGGGAGTAAAATAAAGGGTGACCTGGGAGCTGAAAGCTTTCCAAAGGGGCTATTTCAGCAACAGAAAGATCAGTAGGCAAGCGGGGTCGCTAAAAGAAGACCTGGTTGGACCGGGATTTGTTGGCCAGATAGCATGGGGAGCTGGGCAGAGAGCAAGCCAGGTTCCTCCCCGCCCCGAGTTCCCCAGGGAGTTCCAAAAAGCGCTCCTCCGCATCCGGTAAGTTTGAATCAGCGGAAAGGCCCATTCATTTCCCACCGCCCGACACCCAGGACGACAGCATTGTCAGGCTTTCCCAGTCCATCACCCGAACGACCTGTTCCACTTCTGTGGACTCATTCTCCCTCCCTGGCCCGCAGCAGCCGCCAGGAACAGGATGCTGCTCCCAGGGAGCACACGGACTGAGCACCCAGAAGATGCGGGGAGAGGAGGCTGGCGAGGCCAGGTCCCGAACCGGGAAAGTACCTCTGGTGGCCAGGGTCGAGCAGTTCTTTCTCTCCTGGGTCCCACCCGCAGTCACCTCTGCGCCCGCCCCGGGAGGGCGGGCGGCGACCTTCCCGGGGGACGCCGGGCGCCGGGCTCCAGGCGGGCAGGTGAGGCGGTCCTCGGTGCGCCGGACTCGCCCAAGGGCCTGGCCCGGCTCCCGGCCCCACGCGTGTCCCCGCGCCCTACCCTGCAGCTCGCGCTCTCTCCCTTGCAGTCCTCCACGTCCGGAAAGCCGCGCCAGAGCCCACAGCCCGGCAGCCGGCACTCACCGCGCAGGGGCAGAGCTGGGAGCACGGAGTGGAAGGCGGCGCGAGCGGCTCCTCACAGCGGCCCCTGCTGCCCCAGCCGCCGATTAGGCTGCGAGGGGCGGAGGCCTTGGGGTGTCACCTGCCGGCCCTCCCCGCCCAGCGCGTCACGCGGCACCGCCTGCCCTTGCGCCCTCCCGCCCGCCGCAGCCAGGTGCCACTGAGGGGTCGGAGGAAGGAGCCGCAGCCGCCTCCAGGGGCCAGCGAGCACCGCACGCCTCCCGCGCCGCTGCCCCGCACCCTGCGCACTGCCTGGCTCGGCTCCGGGGTCGAATCTGGTCGTCCTAGTGATTGCTTTTCTTTGTGAGCATGGGTGTCCTCACTTGGGGTCACCATGCTTTAACAAAAAAAAACGTGGAAACTGTCGTCATGCCTGACTCGATGAATTGCAGGAAACTGCGGCGAGGAAGACCTGGCGGCAGCGTGGATGGGGGCGCAGCTGGAAGAGAGGGAGGGGAAAAGGAGAGCACCCCTGCTCGCGAAAGGAGGGACCAGACGCGTTGACCTCTAAAATGGAGGCCTGACCGAGATGCCCCATTAGAGACAGCTTCATCCCCTACTTATTAAGAAATGGTGAATCACTGAATATTTGGGGCTTAGGGAGGTTTTAAGGAAATGAAGAACAGATTGTATGAAACTTCAGTCGACTTTTTTCCAGTTTAGTAACCGCAACTGGTGCAGGGAACAAAGTACTCCTGTATCTTTATCTCCTTCAGTGACTGTTGGATTGGAAGTGCTGAGCGGAATGAATAAAGGAAGGGAAGCCTCTGTATGTGCACTGGATTTTTTTTTTTTTTTTAAGCTTCTCTAGTCTTGGGTATGGTCATAACCTTACTAACTTTTGTAACGATTTCTAATCAGAGCATAATAGCAGGAAGGCAAAATGCAAGTCTAGAAGTACCTGCTTCTGCAGCAAAACCAAGAAGTAAAACTGAGCCTCCTTCCAGAATCACCCTCCTTCAAAAAGAAAGCCAAGAGAGCTTGCATTCCCTGCCCTAGTGCCAAAACCCTTTGGAAATTAAAGACAATTGTTTTGAATCTGTTAGTGTTTCTATCTATATGAAATTTCAAACATTCAGGAGCTTAACTAGATTTATTGATTTAAGAAATATTTGAGTAGGGCTGCAGAGATGGTTCAGCAATTAAGAGCACCTGCTGCTCTCACAGAGGACCTGGGTTTCTATTCCAGCAGCCACATAGCTGCTACAAACCACCTGCACCTCCAGGTCTAGGTAATCTGATGTCCTCTTTTGGCCTCTATGGACATTGCATGCACATAATGCACTTAACATACCTGCCCTCAGACACATAAAATAAAAAGAAAAAAGAGAAATATTTTATTGCTATTACTTTTATTTCCCCTGGACCTAAAGATTCAACAGACAACAAAACAAACAAAAAATTCTCTGTTCTCAGGGACTGAACATTCATTCTTGTTGGAGATGACAATAAAATTAATTGATAAACAAGTAAAGTTATGTTGCGTTCAGGTTGTGATAAATGCCATGAAGAAAATGCCATGTGATAAATGCCATGAAGAAAAAAAAGAAATATTTTATTGCTATTACTTTTATTTCCCCTGGACCTAAAGATTCAACAGACAACAAAACAAACAAAAAATTCTCTGTTCTCAGGGACTGAACATTCATTCTTGTTGGAGATGACAATAAAATTAATTGATAAACAAGTAAAGTTATGTTGCGTTCAGGTTGTGATAAATGCCATGAAGAAAAATCAGTAAAGGGCACAGGGACTTGTGGAGGTGGGGAGAAGCATTGCTGAAGTGTTTAGGAAAAGCCTCAAAGAGAGGAAGCTTTTGTGTTTTGTTTGAGACAGTATCTCACTATGTAGCCCCCAAGCTAGTCTGGAAGTTACTGTGCAGACCAGACTGGCCATGAACTCATGAGATATCCCTAGCTCTGCCCCCTGAGTGCTGGGATCAAGGCGTGCAACACGACAGACTTCCTTTTTTTAAATTTTATTTTTTAAACTTCATTTTTTTATGTGTATGAGTGTTATGTCTGCATACAGTATCTGCATGTATGTAAGTACACCCAGGTTGTGCAGTGCCCACGGAGGCCAGAGAGTGAATCATATTCCCTGAAACTGATGTTACAGATGGTTGTTGACCACCATGTGGGTGCTGGGAATCAAACCCAGGTCTTCTGCAAGTACAGCTAGTGCTCTTAACTTCTGAGCCATCTCTCTAGCCCTTGTTTCATTTCATTTTTTTGTTTTTCTTAGGTTCTTGTTGGTTTTTTTTCTTAGGTTTTGTTTTGTTTTTTGAGACAGGTCCCCTTGTAGCCCCAGCTGGTCTGGAACTTGCTATATAGATGAGGCTGGCTTCCATCTCACAAAGATCTACCTGCACCAGCCTCTGGAGTGCTGGGATTAGAGGCATATACCACCACACCTGGCTTGTTCTGTTTTTATGAGACAAGGACTTACATGTAGCAAAGGATGGGATCCTAGGCTGTCCTCAAACTTGGATCCTTCTGACTCCTGAGTGCTGTAATTACAGACTATCAGAAGGAAGTACTTGAGTCAAGGTATTAAAGGTGGCAAAGCTGTGTGTCTGCCCAGGTAACAGCATTCCAGCCAATGGGAACTACAAGGCTGAAGGCAGGAGCATACCTGGGAGACCACAGTTCCTAGAAGAGCTAAGAGGCCTGTGTGGCAGAATTGGAGTGAGGATGGCAGCAGTAAGTGAGGTCAAAGGCACAAGGAAGCAGTTTCTGAGAGGTGGCACTATCTGGCTAACTTAATTTTTAACTTTTCAGTTTTTTGAGGCATTTTCACTATATAGCCCAGGCTGCACTCAAACTTGTGATCCTCCTGCCTCAGCCTTCCAAGTACTGGGATTATAGACATGTGCTCCTATTTTTCATTTTTTTAATTTGTTTGAGTGTTTTGCCTGCATGTCTGTAAGCATACCACCTGTTGGCAATGCCTATAGAAGCCAGAAGAGGGCATCAGATCCCCTGAAACTGGAGTTACATTTGACTATTAGCCACCATTTGGGTGCTGGGAACTGAAATCCCAGTCCTCTGTAAATGGCAAAAGCTCTTAACCACTGAGCCATCTCTCCAGCCCATGATTGGCATTTTAATCTAACAACACTTTTGAGAATAAAATATGGGATGGAGAGGAAAGGGAAGGGAAGGGCAGAGAGAGGAGATGATTAGGACGCCCTTGCACCATTCAGATAAAGAGTGATAAATCCTGGAAAGCAGATCTGTCATGCAGGTATTGTTGCACTAGCACTGCCTAGCACAGCTCAGTAGCTGATCAGTATGTATTTATTTTCATGGCCTCAAATCTGTAGGTTGGTTCAGTTGAACTGTCTCTGGCTGTGCCTAACTGAAGAGCTCTACTTTAGGTTATGAGTAGAGTTTGTCTAGTCCACATATGCTCTGGAGTCATGAGGGAAGAGGCAGCAGCTGGTTTGGGATTTTACAGTATATTGCTGAGGTATGAAAGCCAAGCCAAAGCCTATGAGCACATGGAAGGCCTCTGTCACATGAAGCTGGCTAGTATCCCATTAGCCAGAGGATGCCATAGCCAAATCCAATTATCAGTGGCATATGAAAATATTGAACCCACAGTGGAAGATGAGGGGAAGGAAAATTACTAAATCTTTCTATGCCTTCAACTTCTCTGTAAAACTCGGGTATAGCATCTACCTTTCTTGTGTATTGGTGGGAGGAGTCAATGAATTATAATGGTGTTTGGCCCTACTATGCATGTGTTTGCTATTGGTTTTAGCATCAAAAGGCTATAAGCCTAAATGTTTATCGAGAAAGAATAAATTTATAAATAAATGGCTAAATAAATTACTGTTGAATCATACAATGTAGATGTTAAAGACAAATAAATATAGTTCTTAGGGAAGTAACCCCAAGATAGATTGTTTAATGGGGGGAAGGGATACAGCAATGTGTAAGGGTTAAGAGCACTGGCTGCTCTTGCAGAGGACCCAAGTTCGGTTCCCAGTACCCACATGGTGGTTAACAGCTGTCCATAACTCAGTTCCAGGGGATCTTGACACCCTCTTCTGACCTGTGGACATTGCACAACACTGGTGCACTTACATGCATGCAGACAATACACTCATACATAAAACAAGACAATTTAATGAAGTTTTCTTTAGTTGTCCAGAAAACATAGCCTTTGATTTTATAGTACATATTCTAAGCTGTTACTGGACTTTTCTTTATTTTGCAGTTCGAGGTATTCTTTAAAGCTATTCCTTCGGGGCTCGAGAGATGGCTCAGCAGTTAAGAACACTGGTTGTTCTTGGAGAAGACCCGGGTTTGAATCCCAGCACCCACATGGCAGCTAACAACTGTCTGTAACTCCAGTTCCAGGGGATCCGACAGCCTTTTCTGTCCTCTGCTGCTATTGCATGACACGGGTGCACTTACCTACATGCAGGCAATACATGCATATGCATAAAATAAAAATAATAAAGTATTTTTTAAAAAAGCTATTTCTTCTATGCATGTGGTTTATGTTTACAGATCTTCTTGGCATTAATGACAATGGAGGTCAGCTCTAAAAATCAGACTTAGAGATGAGTCTATACTAGTGACTGAATTCCTAAGTAAACAGAGGAAATAGTAATCGCTTTTTACTATCCATTTCATTTTCTTTGGTGTAGACTATCAAGAGCTGGCTTTGCACATGTAATTTAAAAGTATCTGTTGCTTTTACATATCCATTCTAATGCATTTAAAATGAGTTCTCTATTTTCAGTTATAAAGCAATTATGCAGAAAAACCACTCTAAGGGACTGAGGTATAGCTCAGTTAGTAGCATGTTTGCCCAGCATGCGCAAAGCCCTGGCTTTGATCCCCAGCACTGCAGAAAACTGGAGTACGTGGTACATGCCAGTAGTCCCAACACTTGGAGGTAGAGGCAGAAGCATCAGAAGTACAAGATGACCCTCAGCTACACGGTGAGTTTGAGGCCAGTCTAGGACACATGATACCCTGGGGGTGGGGGGGGTGGTTGGAGAATCAAGACTTGCAAT